TTCATAATTATGTTTTTTTGTAAAAAGACCATTTACATAATAATGGGAGATTTTCTTTGTTTTGTTTTTGAGGTTTCTTGTTTGTTTGTTTTTGCTTGGGACATAAATTTTCAGCCCTATCCAATATTAAGAATTGCATAAGGTGAAAGATTTATAGGATCTGAAAAGGAACCCTCATTCACTGCTGCAGGAATGTAAACTGGTATAGCCACTATGGAAAGTAGAGGCTCCTCCAAAAATTAAAAATTAAAGTTACTGTATGACCCAGCAACTTCTCTTCTGAGTATCTACCTGAAAAATGTGAAAACATTTGTTCACAAAGATATATGCACTCCATATTTCATTCCTTGCAACATTATTCACAGTAGCCAAAACATGGAAACAATCTAAGTATCCTTAGCTAAATGACTGAATAAAGAAGATGTGGTACATATATACAATGGAATACTACTCAGCCATAAGAAAAGATGAAATAACTGCCATTTGCTACAACACAGATGGAGCTCGAGAGTATCATGCTAAGTAAAATAAGTCAGACAGAAAAAGTAAAGAACCATATGATTTCACCCATATGTGGTATATAAAACTGAAAGCAACAAATGAACAAGCCTGAAAAACAAACAAATCTCATAGACACAGAAAACAGTATGGTGGTTATCAGAGGGAAAGGGATGTGGATTTATAAAGGGTAATGGGGGCCAAATATATGGTGATGAAAGATTTGACTTTGGGTGGTGGGCACACAATGCAATATATAGGTGATATATCATAGAATTGTACACTTGAAACTATATAATTTTATTAACCAAGGTCATCCCAATAAATTTATTTTTTTAAAAAAATAAGTGCATAAGGATTTTAAATGCAGATTTTCAGCTATGACTCAAATTTACTGAACTGGAATCTTCAGAGTCTGGAAATATTAATGTTAAGTGTTTGTTATGATTTGGCAGGTTTAGAAAATATTGCCTGATAACCTTGACAACAAATTTTTAGAAATAAATGAAATAAGACAAAAAGAAACAAAAATAAAATAAAAACTACAATAAACAAAGTAATAGTGTTCGTGGACACATGAAAAAACAGGAATGTTCATTCATTATAGAACCAAATTGGAACAATATTTTTCAAGGCCAATTTCTATGACAATTAAAAGCATCCTATGGACACAACCAACAGTGTGGTAATGGCCAGAGGGAGGGGGGTAGGGGCTGGGTGGAGATGGGTAAATGGGGTGGGGGACATCTGTAATAGTATCAACAATAAGAAAATAAAAACATCCATAGTAATATACAGCAATGACAGTTATAAAAACTTTCTACTTTCATATTATTATTTAAAAAACTATGGACAAAGAGTTTCAGTCAACATTGTCTCTCATAGATAAAACTACAAACATACCAAAGTTCATAAATATGGGAATGGATGTGTGTGTGTGTGTGTGTGTGTGTGTGTTGTCTTTATTTTGAAGGAAAATATTTGGACTGATTTACAGTAAAATCTGAATAGTATATTTCTTGAGACAAGGATAAAAGCAAACATTTTCCTCCTACCTTTTCTGTATATTCTAATTTTACTGAGGGATTTTTCTGGCACCTTGGGAGTTTGCTCAATCTAGCAAAGGACAAGTCAGAAGTGCCAGAAATTTTAGCATTCATTAGTAACATGCACTAATAAAGACCTGTGGATAAACGTTCCAGATTTGCAACATTGATTGGGATAGTTCTGAGGAGCATTCTACATGGTTCCTTAGACTTAAGCAAAATTGAGCCAGTTGTGTTTTGGCCATGTCTGTCTCTGGTATTATATTTCTAACAACTTTTTCATCCTAATATTATATGCAAAATTATTTTTCCTATATATTATTTTCAATGGTTTTATGTCTTTTTATCTAAACATTTAGTGTCTGTATGTAAGTGTATAACAAGAATATGGCGCTTCATTGTGGAAACCAGTTTGGCTCAGTGGATAGAGCGTCAGCCTATGAACTGAAAGGTCCCAGGTTTGAATCCGGTCATGGGCATGTACCTTGGTTGCAGGCACATCCTCAGTAGGGGGTGTGCAAGAGGCAGCTGATCTATGAGATGATTCTCTCTCATTGATGTTTCTAAGTCTCTATCCCTCTCTCTTCCTCTCTGTAAAGAAATCAATAAAATATATTTTAAAAAAAGAATATGGCGCTTCATTATTTTTTCCAAATAGATAACCAATTATCCCATCACCATTTCTTCAACAATACAGTATAACCTCTCCCCACTGACTCAAAATATTTCAATCAGATTACTAATATTTCTCTTTATTTGAGTTGGACAATTGGCTTTCTTTTCTGTTTCATTTTTTCTATATTTAGTCTGGCATATATTTTTAATACAGTAGCTTCACAATACTTTTTAACTGTCAACATAACTTTCCCAAATAATTGTTTGAAAGACCTCACTCAGTGTTGCTCTAATTTTGAGGCCATGTTAGAGGCTTGTTGTAAAGTTGTACTAATATAATTTAGAGGAGACCATAAGTTTGCCATATGCTCTCAAGATCTGATAATCCACTAGCAAGAATCTATTAGAAAAAAAAAAAGACTCTATTACTCACTTGCCTCATCTCATAGGAAGACCACACAGAGATCCTTCATAAGAGGAACCACTAATTTAGCTTTATATTTCAAAGTTCTTAAAAGGGGAAGGGGTGCTATCGGAAGGGTCTATATTTATAGAATGTTTCAGCAGCAGATACAGGTTGCCAAGATTTTACAAATTGAATCCTATTTTTCAATTGAAAATAATAGTATTGTCTAATTATAACAACTAAAAGATTAGTGTATACCAATGGAAAATAAAAACAACCACCCCCCCCCCTTAAAAAACCAACAGAAAGGGAAACAATTAAGGTGAAAAAAATATTAATTAATGCTACTTCCTACCTGTTTTCCAGGTTTCCTAGCCTCACCCCCCACTTCACTGCTCTGGTTTCAGTTTGGAACAAAACTAGCAAGTCCTGGTGAGTGGAGGGAAGAGAAGTTGGCTTTTAATGATACAGAAGAGAAAGAAGCAATTCTTTAAAAGCTCCAGCAGAAATCAGGAAAAGGGGCAAATACAAAGTACAAAATATTATGACCCGCTTGGTATCAAAGATTGCTAAATAGAGGGAAACATAATAAGGCATGAGCAGTAGCCTGCGGTAGGGATAGGGAGATGGTGAAAAGGAGAGAGGTGGCCTCGCCATTCCCCTGCCCCCCACCCTCCTGCCTACAGCAGGTAAGATCCATAATTCCGGATCTGAGCTCACAGTGACGTGATTCTTACGAGACGTAATGCTGACGCGAGGGTTAGTTTCTCCTCCTACTTGCGGTGCGAGTCCTTTGTATCTGTGTGCCTGCTCACTATTGCCTTCAGAGCGAGCCCGGAGCCCACGGGAGGAGGAAGCCATAGAAGCTGACCTCGATCCACTCCAGGTTGGTGAGCGTGGACTGGGGGAGGGGTGGCAGAGTGCAAAAACCAGTTTGGGTCCAGGACTAGATTCCCTTTCCCCCTCTCCCAACACCCACCCATTCGGCGCAAGAAATGGATGCTGTAGGGAGGGGCAAAGAGGACCAGTTTGAAGCTTCCCGGAGATGGGTGATTGGGCGACATCTGGGAGGGAAGAATCAGAGAAGAGGTTATCGAGGAATGGGCCGGGCAACGGGAGGGGAGCATAACCATGAAATCGGGTTGGGGGTGACGGGCTCCCCACCCGGTTTAGGCCTCCGTTACCGTTACAGGCATCTCTTCACCCTTCGTCCATTTTTGGTGTCTGAAATGGTGGGCTGCGGGAACGGCGCGGGATGGCGGTTGCTGCAGAGAATATGGGGAAGGGGATTCGGCCTGGGAAACAGGTCCCTTCTGCAGAGGAGGCGGCCGGGTGGGCGGGTTTTTAACGGAGGGATCTAGGCAGAGAGCGAGAAACTGCTTCAGGTCTTTGCGGGTCGGTGTAATGGTGGTCGCTGCGTGCGCACCCCAGGGTAGGCATGACAAAGCGCTGAGACTGAAGCGGGTCCAGGTTTGCGCGCCCTCGCTGTTCTGCTCCCTTCGTCCATCTTGGCACATAAAATGACGGGCAATGAAAGGCCACTGGGTCTCAGGAGGTCCTGGCTGATACCCAGATTGAAATTCTTTATGAATAAACCAAGTTGCGGTGCAGAAAGCTCTTCTGATTTCCCGCCCGGAAAGCTGTCCATTTGCGTTCAAGAAATGGTAAATAGATGATGGGAGGGGCAAGACAGTGGGGTAAGGGACCTAAAGAATATGTAAAACTGGTTTGGAAATAATCATTGTTTACAACAACTATTTCTGGAAGGCGTGTTAGGGCATCACAGGAAGGGAAAAGAAGCCGTGAGACCGAATGAAGGAGAAAAAGATGGTGGCAATACTTGACTAGCAGAGTCCCAAATAAGCAACGAAGCTGTCCTTTAATCAAGCGATCAATCCTGGCCATTGTCATATTTCTGTCTGCAGGTCTTCAGGTCCTTTGGTGTAGCAGATATCAAGGCTAAGAGAGGAAACCTGCTTCTGATCCCTGAAGGTAGGGGAATGCCTGCGATCCTAAAATGTAGGGGTATCAGGGAGTAGAACAGAAACTAGGGAACTCAGCCTTCTGTGCCCGAATTAAGAGCAGGAGAAACTTTTGTAAGTTTTTAGAAACTGGGTCTGTGGCTGGCGAGGAAAGAAGAAGGTGGAGAGGCAAACTCGGGCGCCCCTGGAAGGCTTATCAGGATTCCTGCTCTCTCAAACCACTGTCCCACCCACCACTTGTCCTGCGTTTTGTGTGAGGATTGGCCTAGGGAAGGATTTTCATGGAAGGCAGGGGGCTTTGTGGGGCTGGGCTGCGGCTGGGGCTACCCCTAGAGGGCGCGCGAAGTCTCTCAGATGGGGAAACCTTTGCCTACAGGGTTCTGAACCAGGTTGTTACAATGTATTGAATCCTTGCTTTTTAATCTCCTAGAAAGAAGCAGAAAAAAACTCAACATGGAAAGTGTCCCCAAGGAATGCAAAGAAGGTGAGCAGGCTCCAGTGCAGAATGAAGAAGAAGCCCGCCCCTTGGCAGGTGGTGAAGTCCAGGAGCCTGAAGGAAACATTAGAGAGGGTGGGGCTCCACCTGCCCAGGATGTTAGAGAGGATGTGCCCAATGGGCTTGCCAATAACCTTGATATGGTAGATGGAGATGCAGATGATATGGAACGGTTCATGGAGGAGATGAGAGAGCTAAGGAGGAAAATTAGAGAGCTTCAGTTGAGGTACAGTCTGCGCATTCTCATAGGCGATCCCCCTCACCATGACCATCATGATGAGTTTTGCCTTATGCCCTGAATGCTGAGGTTAAGAATAATAAACCCCCTGCTCCCGACACTTGTATTTTTTGATGTACCCATTATGGTGAATCTTTGGTGTCCTTTTATTTTTCTGATTGGGCATTTCATTTTGACTTAGTCTGTAACTTTTTCTGTCAGCAGGGGAGTTTCATTAACTTGCATGGAAAAATGCTTAATAAATATCACGAAGTTAATAAAGCAGTTTAAAAAGCAGTTTATAGATATACTGTGGTCTCATTTAAAAGCATGCATATTTTATATATGTCAGTCAGAGTGTGTTTTTTATTTTCTTGCTTTTCTCATTTTTCCCCCCAAAATGAATACACCTGTATTATATGTATCAGAAAACAAGAAGCAAAGAACTTGTCAATGATCTTATGAAGGGAATGCAGACAATTAAATACTTGAGACACAATTTAAAGACGTTTTATATTACCTCTGTATCTCTTAGGATGTCTGGTCTAATTATCATTTTAAAAATATATATATTTTATTGATTTTTCACAGAGAGGAAGGGAGAGGGATAGAGAGTTAGAAACATCGATGAGAGAGAATCATTGATCAACTGCCTCCTGCACACCCCCCACTGGGGGTGTGACCAAAACCAAGGTACATGCCCTTGACTGAGACCCCTCAGTCCGCAGGCCAACGCTCTATCTACTGAGCCAAACCGGTTATGGATTTAATTAGCATATTATGCTTTTATTATTATAGATACATTTCTTTAAAGTCAGCCTATTTGTGATGAAGATACAGCAATACATGCCTTACAGGGCTATTGTGGGAATCAATAAGGTAATAACTGAACTCTGGCCGGCTCTATCCACACATGCAAGGCCCCAACCCTCTAGGTGCCATTCATATTTAGGGAAGGGCCCAAGGAGTATGCTTACCAGTAAATACAGTTGACTGCCAAGTGGGTAACAGCTTTGTATACTTATGCCGCTGGAATATGCCATGACTGATTGGCACCCCTTCCCTGTAAAATGCCATGACTGCTACGTTCTCCTTCCCCTTCTGCTCAGTTTTGTTTTCCTGAACTTGTCCCAACCACTGCTGATGTGCTGGAGTGCTAAAGGTGAAAAAGACCCATAATTTCTCTGGAACCTTCAGTGGTCTGACTCCCCATTTTTGCCTTTCAGAAACGTGGAATATGCCCTCTTCCTGCTTTAAAATAATAATCAGGTGCATATCCTTTATGGTTTTTCTCAGACTTTTTTTCACCCCTGTTCCTTAGATAAGTGAGTGACACTAATCATAGTGTGCTCAGAATTGGACTACCCTTTTATCTTTGGATGAATATAGCCCAGTTTTCTTGACTCGCCATTTCCTATGCATACACTGCTATAGGTTTCACTCTGAGAGCATACAGGTGTTTTGAGGGAGGCTTTATGTCCCCAAGACTTCTGATCCACACCACTCTCATGCACCCCAGGAATTCACAGTAGTCTCTAATTACACTAGCCTACATGGACCCAGAGTAGTTTTCTTTCTTTGATTTTGCTGTGCCAAATAAACCTGTAATCACAAATCATTGGGAAACTGGCTGGGATTGGAGACCTGGTAGATGGACCATTGTTTTAGAACATATTCCACCACCCAGTCATCACTGCTCCCAAATAGATTGTGCCCTTCTATCAATATCTATATTGTCTCATTTGTTCTCATACGCTCAGTACCTAGCACATAGTCTGATAAGTTGTAGGGCACAATAGTTAATTATAGCCGAGTCACGGGTCCTGCAATCTGAGTCTTTGATTATTTATGGGCAAGTGACATCTTTTTCCTATAGACTAGCTTGTAATTGAAAAAAGTAGCACATCAGAGAAAGCATAGTACACCAATGTTAACACATGGACTTACTATAATGTTACATACATACCAATATTTATCAACAAGTGCTATGCAGACCACCTACACAGAATCCCCTGAGAAATTGGCTAAATATTCAGGAAACTAGGTTTTAATCCACACCTACTGCATCCTACAAGTTCATCTTTGGACTTAGATAAATTAAAATGGAGACCCCAGTTTTAATTCAAGTGTGTGTGTGTGTGTGTGTGTGTGTGTGTGTGTGTGTGTAATTTTAAGTGCCTTAATTAACCTAAATATATCAGGCTTTATGTTCCCACTAGACTACCATGTTTAGAGACAACTGTCTTGTTTTATACCGTTATGTTTAGTGCATAGGTTCTCAACCTTGGCTACAAGTTTCATTTATTTGAGATTTTAAAGTGTAGCTCTGAACCTACTCCCAACCAATTGAATCAGACTCATGAGAAGTGAGACCTAGGCATTATTACATTGTAAAAGCTCTCCCATTGATTCTGATGTAAATGTAGAGTTGAAAACAATTGGGTATAATTTGTGACTAAAATATCTTTGGTACATTTTATCTGCACTACCCTTGGTTGACTGTGTGAACCTAACCAAGTCATGTCATTTGTATAGAATATATATCTTGTTACAGAATTAAAAAAAGGAGGAATTACACCCCAAAACCAACACATCAGACCTTTTTAAGATGGTATATGTCAGGATACCTCCAGGTTTGATAGCCTATCAAATACTTCAGAATCACGTGTGGAGCTTGATTAAAATACAGAATCCCAAGAACCACTCTTTAGTAATTGTGCCCAGGTAACTGTATTGGTAACAACCTCCCAGGTGATTCTGCTGCACACTACAGTTTGAGAATCACCAGTGCATACGTTTTTATCTCAAGTATATTAAGGACAAACCAATCAAATAACTAGAAGAAAATATAGATCAAATGTTCATCTGAATTCAAGGAAAAGAACCTAGGAAGGACTATTTGAGCATTAAAAAATAAGAAAAGCTGAAACCGGTTTGGCTCAATGGATAGAGCGTCGGCTTGGGGACTGAAAGATCCCGGGTTCGATTCCGGTCAAGGGCATGTACCGTGGTTGCGGGCATATCCCCAGTAGGGGGTGTGCAAGAGGCAGCTGATCGATGACTCTCTCTATTGATGTTTCTAACTCTAACTCTCCCCCTTCCTCTCTGTACAAAATCAATAAAAATATATTAAAAAAATAAGAAAAGATGAAATTATAAAGGGGAAGATTTATATTTACTATATAAAAATTATTAAATATTATCTAAAGTAAAGCAAGACTAAATAAAAGTTCAAGGGGAAAGATTATATGTCTTAATAAATGTACTTTTCCAACTAAAGATCATGTAATGCCTTTCACTTTTTCATTCCAATGTGGGTAATAGATAAACAATAACATGAATAGATCTTACATTTATCTTGCCCATTTAAAACCTTGATTGGGAGAATCTGTTTTAGCCATTTTTAACTTGTAGAATAACTAGGGAGTGTTTATCTGCTTGTCTCAGGAAAGGTGAAAATAGTGATAAATACTCATTTGCAATAGATCGTGCCACTCACTATTAATATTGGTGTCCTGTGGCTGCTTTAAAAAATCACCACAACAAAAATTTATATTCTCACAGTTCTTAAGTCAGAAATCAACATGTGGACAGGGCCATGCACCTCCTAGAAGCTCTACGAGAGACTGTTCATTGCAATGCAACCCCTATCGAAACTATTCTCAACAAATCAGCAAACAACAAGTAGCGAGGATGTGGAGAAAAGGAAACCCTTGTGTACTGTTGGTGTGAATATAGATTGGTGCAGCCACTGTGAAAAGCAGTATGGAGATACTTCAAAAAAATTAAAAATGGAACTGCCTTATGACCCAGAGATTCCACTTCTGGGAATTATCCAAAACACTAAATCGAAAGAATATATGTATCCCTATGTTACTTACAGCATTATTTACAGTAGCCAAGATTTTAGAAGCAGCCCAAGTGTCCATCAGTAGATGAATGAATTAAACAGCTATGGTTCATTTACACAATAGAATAGTATGGTACTTGGCCATAAAAAAGGAGGAAATTTTACCCTTTGCACAGCATTGATAGGCCTGGACACCATTATTCTAAGTGAAATAAGCCAGTCAGAGAAAGACACGTACCATATGATTTCACTCATATGTGGAATCTAATGAACAAAATAAACTAATAAGCAAAGTAGAGACAGATTCATAGATAAAGAGCAGACTGACAACTCAGTGTGTGTGTGTGTGTGTGTGTGTGTGTGTGTGTGTGTGTGTGTGGATTCTGGAGGGTGGAAAGATGAAGAAAAAAAGAAAAAATTGGGAAAGGACCCATGGAAAAGGATAACAGTGTAGTGGTTGGGGATGGGTGGGTAGAGGTGAAGGAGAAGGGTAGGGTAGGGGGGGATAAATGGGGATGGGAAAATATAATAAAGAAAAAAATGCCATATGAGGATATAGTGAGAAGACAGCTGTATTTGAGACAAGGGGAGAGGCCTCAGGCGAAACCAAACGTGCTGATTACTTGATTTTGGGGTTTCAATTTTCAGAACTGTGAGAAATTTCTGTTGTTTAAGTCTCTCAGCCTGTGTTATTTTGTTATGGCAGTCCTAGAAGACCAATACAAGATATAACAGATTGGTGGTTGCCAGGGACTATGGGAGAATCTAAAGAAGGGAAACTGCTTAGTGAGTCAGGTGTTTTACTTTGAGGTAATGGAAGTGTTTTGAAACTAGATAGAGGTAGTGGTTGCACAATATTGTGAATGTACTAAATACCACTGAATTTTTCACTTTGAAATGGTCCTTTCTTGGACTTTTTATTTTGTAAAAATATACATAACACAAAACATACATTTACATATACATATACACACATTTATAAGTACAATCCAGTGGCATTAATCATATTCACATTGTTGTGGAATCATCACCACTACCCATCTCCAGAAAACTTGCATCATTCTAAATTAAAACTCTCTAGCCATTAAATAATAACTTCTAGTTTTCCCCCCTTTCAACAGCCCCTGGTAACCACTATTCTACTTTCTGTCTATAGAATTTGATTATTCTAGGTATACCTTATCTAAGTGAAATGAGACGATATTTGTCTTTTTGTGTCTGGCTTATTTAGC